CTCTTGAAAACCAAATGAAAGCAAACAAACGCCGAAAACCCAAATTCAACATGGATGCTTCATCCTAGGTCCAGTCTGGTGCTTGTTCAGATTGTAATGATTGTAAAAGATTTGTGCCTCCGTCAACACAATTTAGATCCTTCTGGAGGCGGGGATGACTTAAATTGGCCCCGCTTATCATGGCCTACAGGTGCTGAGAGGGAGACAGCATCATAATGGACAAAGATACTCAATAAGCAACTTCTCGATGTAAGTGTAAGAATATATGAAAGTCTCTTCTTCTGCGTAAAATATCTTAAAGCTTCACTGTTGCACCACAAATACTGTCATGCACATTAGAGGATTATGTGAATTTTTGTATTTGTTAATACTACCAATTACAACGAGACCCCAGCTGGGGCTAAACCAGGTGAAAGGGGATTTTGGGATAACAGACAGTTTTTAACCAAAAGTCCCAAGGCTTTGTGAGTCATAATGTTGTGAATCAAAAGTCCACAATAAATGAAAAGAAAGCAGTGGAAAAAAATATAGTGTTATCTGGTCATGGAGCTATTGAATTAAGACAACTCAATTGTGTGGTTAGTTTTGGGTTGTTTTGTTTTTTTTAAAATGTTTTTACAGGGTGAGGGACCCTGGATTGGATTACATAACAATATGTGAAAGGTATTTTGCGTTGGCGGCCTAGTGGTTAGGCTCTCTGGCTGTATACTTTCCGGGAAGCTGAGAATGTTTTTGGGTGTTCTTTTGTCTGCTGGAGTAATACTATAGTGTAAAACGCATTGAGCTTGCTGTCGAGCAGGGATATGCGGTGTTATACAAATGGTATTGATTATTTATTATTATTAGATATTAGGGACCCTAGATATTATACCTCATAGGCACACAGTATACTCAGTCTGATCTCCCTCTCCCATCCCCACACACTATTCTCTTTAAGCAAAAACATGCAAGCCACCTTGACTCTGTTTTAATTATCAGACTTAAGCTCCTGAATTCTACATTATAATTCTACCATTACTCCTTCATCTCTACTTAAGAATTAATAACAAGATTGAAAGAAAGTCAATTGCCAGCAGCATCATGTCAACTCCATTATTATATCACACTTAAAACTCAAAAGCTTCTGTCAAAAGTCCATGTCATTTTCTCAGGTGCAACCTGCAAGTAGTGTAAAGGAATTTATTCAAAGACCAAGGTCGCTATAGCCAGAGGGATCTTTGACTTCCAGATAATGCTTTGAACTCAGTATTGTACACAGTACTATCCTTCTTTCCACTGTGTACCCCAGCCATCATCTTGTGGTAATAAATCACTTCACCACATAGCAGCAAACACTTTGTCTCAAACTCAAACAGTTTACAGACAAACCATTCTCGGACAGCACTTGAAATCTACAGGCTTTGTTGAGCAAAGAAACAGTCAAAAATAAAAAAATATATATACATCTTTTATCATCATCTACTTTGTCATTCTCTCGGTCGGATGATGCCACGCGATAACCTTGCCAACATTTCAAGGTACGAGTACCCGGTACTTGGTTATTGGCAATGGCGGTTACAACAAAATATATGTAATCACACTTGAACTGAAAAAGTGCACAGTGAGAAGCTTCGTTACAATTCTGTTTTCTTAGTAGAGCCATCTAGCTTTTAAATCATTTTCTCTTCTCTTCAAAGTGGACTAGTTTGTCCTTCAAACTACAACAAAACAGATTATTAGCCTACTATATATGGGCGGCTTGTTCCAGTACACAGGACCTCCAAGAATTGACAGTGTTGTTCAACTAGACGAGGTGCTTGGTCCAGGCTGGTATAGAATCAGCAGAATGAACAAAAACAACTAGAAGAAAAGAAGGAGCGTTCAAACACACCTGTATGAATCGAATAGGTTCTATTCTTTTAGACAGGTTTATTTCGTAGACTCATAGAGCACCTGTCAGAAAAGAAAAACATAACAAGCATAATACAGTTTTAAAACAACCACGCTTTTAAGTTATTCTAACAGCCAAATATGAGGTCAAAACCTAGAAACTCTGGAAAATCTCTGTCAGGCCCACAAATTGTCAGAAGAGAGACCAATCAAAGTATAAAAGCATAATGAATTTTCCGCTGTCCTCCTTCTCATGGTGCATCCTTCTTTCAAAAGCATTGTTACAATTACATAAACACATTTTAGAGTTCTATCTTTCAAGTAAGAAATCTCACAGGGTGTAATACAAATTTATTCAAGATCTTTACATTTAAATACATTTTTTAAAAACCCGTAAAGTTAACCACAATACAAGCACAGAACTGAAATGTTAATGCATGATATTAAGCACCCCCCCCCCCCCCCCCCCCCATCTAATGCCGAACACATTGCAAGAACAACGAACTAGAGTGTTCAGGGCACAAAGGTAGCCTACAAAGGAAAATGCAGTTGTAATTCAAACTGTTTAAGCCCCCATTGACACAAATTAGACCTGGACCATTTAAGAGACAGAGCCAACCAGAGCTAAGAGTAAGAGAAATACAGCGCCCCGGCAGATACACACAAAAACATTCGATAGAAACTTCTCCACATGGGAATCGAACCAGTGTCTTCCATGTACAACAGTTACACCACAGACACCAGGAGGATTATTCGTGGGCAAGTAGATTGTCAGTGATTTAATTGCAGACAGGTATTATAAGATGTAAGATTGTCTGCAGTCAAAGATAACAGCCTCATTGCAAAGACTTTCTAACAAAGAAGACTCTGTGATGAAATAACAGGCACATTTCGCAAGGAGAGGTTAAAATAACTTCAATTGTGTAAAAGTAATACGGTGGCAAGCATTAAGCCTAGATAAACCGAGGAGTGATTTAAAGAAATTATCCACTGATCACAGTATTATGGGGGTACGGAATACACGTGATCTCATTCATGAGTTGGTCATACAGTATTATAGAGACGGTCAAACGTGATTCATGTTTCTGTTGATTCGGAGATGGATACAGTTACGGTTAATTTACTGTAAAATATACACACAGTGGCGGGTAAACCCACTGTGCCAAGGCCCCTTTTTTGCACAGTAAAAGTAAAAATGACGAAAACGTCACTAAATTGGTCATTAAATCAAAACAAGTGAACCTATTTAGATAGTTCTTCATCTAATGAATGAAATCCCGATAAAAGAGACCTGTTATCAGCAGTTGCCGAAAAGTAATTTGATGTCAAAGTCGTCGTAAAGTAATGTGCCCCAGCCGTTATCAGCGGCTCACCAGTACAGCAGTTCCGACTGCGAACCTCCAGGAGCGGCTTGCCGGAGATAAAGACTTAAACCCAAAACATAAAACAATGTGATAACTATCCAAAAGACAATGGGTAAGTCAATGATAGTAAATAACAAGATGGGCCACTCAGCCAAAAAAGTGTCCACAGGAAGTATGCTCTTTGCTTCAGATGGCGCTGCAGTCTGTTTTGAAGCTCTCTTTCGTTTTTCCAGAAGAAGAATAGGAATAGCACCTCCTTGCGTGCGCAGATCGACTGCTGTTCATCAGCAGTTCGGGTACGTTCAGTGCGGAGTTTTAGTTTTTTTAAATTTTAATGACATCTCGCCTTTCATTCTAAAGTCAAATTAAACAAAGAAAACCCTCACCCTTTCCTCTGGAAGAGGTTTTTTGTCAGCGTAACCATTTTACAAAAGCGTTCTTCCGAAATTTATCCCAAAACTTGCTAGTTTCACTTTGATTTTTTAAAACTCAAGTAGGGTAACTCTGTTCGCAAAGAGTGCGCTTTTGTGAAGAGGGCGCCACCAAATTTTGAGGACACTTTTTTAATTGGCTCAATGAGAGAAGTGGCCCATCTTGTTATTTACCATCATTGGGTAAGTTCAGTGTGTAAGATATTTTGGGAATATAAACATGGGCAATATAAAACACATACTATGTAAATTTTTATGCAAGCCAATCCTTTTTACCTCTAGATACGCGTGCGCGCACGTGTGTGTGTGTGTGTGTTTGTGTGTGTATGTGTATGTGTGTGTGTGTGTGTGTGTGTGTGTGTGTGTGTGTGTGTGTGTGTGTGTGTGCGTGCGCGCGCATGGTGTCTGCCAACGAGTGTGTGTGTGTGTTCCAACGATTGTGCGTGCATGCGTTCTTTTGTGTGTGTGTGTGCGCGCGCGCGAGCGTATGTGTGTGTGTGTGCGCGCGTGTGTGTGTGCGTGTGTGTGTGTGTGTGTGTGTGTGTGTGTGTGTGTGTGTGTGTGTGTGTGTGTGTGTGTGTGTGTGCGCGCGCGCGCCCCCGCGCACGAGCACGAGTGTGTGCATGTTGGTGAACTTCATTATGTAATCGTAAGTGTGGACAATTAGAGGGTGGCAACAAATAATCCAATCAAGCCTGAAGAGAATTCAAACTCGATGATTCCAACAAATAACACAATCAAGTCTGAAGAGAATGCAAACTGTTGGAAGCACACCTAGAAGTAAACTGTAGCCCTCTGTCTGAAACTTACTTGACGTGATAACCACCCACATCAGGGGTCTCCCCGCTCCATGGGGCCCACATTAGGGTCTCCGAGACGTCATTCGCACGAGAAATTTATAAACCAATTATAAAAATAGAAGGTCAAATTTTATCATTACCCAGTTTGTATTGTCTGTAAATGAGGGCACAGTTAGAGACATTGCGCTTAGGCCGGGGACCGACACATGAGATGTGTAGAAATCTCAAGGACCAGATATGAGGACAGCAAAGAAAATAATAGTGATCATAGTGGTGGCAATGAAGTACACGCGGAGGAAGAAGGAATCCATGACAGATGCTAGAACTTGGTACGTGATTTCGTCAGTCATTGTCTCTCCTTTCACTTCCGGCTCGGCAAACTTCTGGACTGGAGTCTGACGCCCATCGTTGAGACGAGACTGGGCGCGGCTGCGGTCGGTGCCAAAGTAACCCATAGGTGGCTTACTCTGAATTGGAGAAAAAAACAAAACAGGAGCAGTTGTTAAAACTGGTCCAATTGTCTTCGTGAATCTTGGTTTTATTGGTACATGTAACAAGTAGATGAACCTTCTGACCAGGTATATATACATGCATAACCAAGAGCTGTTCAGCAGCTGGCAACCAAAAACATTACGAATAATACTCTTCTTTAAAAATATCATAATGGGTTCGGTGAAGGTGGATGAAATATATAAAAACAACTGATAAACTGAACAGAAGACACCCACCCCCATCCCCCACCCTGTCCATGTTGTATGAACGGGAAGACATTTTATATAATATCATCTTCTACTACCACAGAGGATTTCAGAAGAAGAATCTGCCTCTCACCTGACCTATGAAGAGGCCGCAAAGAGAAAAAAAACCCCACAAAAAGGTCAGTTATGATATCATTCTGCTCTTTTGTAACGTCCTGACAGTAACCGAAGAAGTACTCCCACGATAACAGACACAAACCCCCTTTCCCCAATCTCGATCATACCACTTAGAACACTGATTTCAACATTTCCCACAATTCCAAGTTAGTATTTTTTCTCTCCCTTCTCTTGATTTTCTCTTTCGTCTTTCCTGTGTGCAGCTTTCACGTATGTTTTTTTATTTCACAAGAAGATCCAGTGGCAATCAGTGTCCAGATATCGACGGAAGAAAACATCCGTAAAAACGGAAGGAGCACTATTCATCTAGGCTATTACAGACCTTACAAACAACACCATTTTTATCATAAGGTTTTTCCCTTAAACATGTAGAACATCTAGGCCACCGACCTTACAAACAACTAGATTAAATATTTTTCCCATGTGTTTCCCCTCGACACCCTGGACTAAAACACACGTTCTTACTCTCATCTAGCATGAGCAAGATCCCGTTTCTCGCTGTAAGTACTATGTCATGTATCTAGGACTACCATTCAGCATGCATTGCACGGCAAACTGATAAAATGTACTAAGCCCAGAAGGCCAAATTTTACAGGAGAGAGGGTAAAAATGGTTTTCAATTGTGCCTACATTATCATTATTTTTCTTTTTTTTTTGCGTTTTTCAATATTTAGAATTTGAATTTCGATTAAATGATTTTTGAGCATTTTGCAACTGATACCACAGGTTAAGAAACTGCAGTTTTAAAAAAAACATCAAAATTTTGGGCTTTGTACATCGCAAGCATTCTCGTCCGAGGTCCCATAGGACCTGGAGTGAGGAGCTGGTCGACGATTTGCAAAAACATGTATGACATACTCTTCCGAATTCTTGAAACAAGTAAGAGGCTAAAATGTTTGTTTGAGCAGAGAGAAGCACATGGACAAAGGTCCTAAAGAGCTAGACTTAGATCTCCCGAAACCTGCCAAATAATGTACCGTAAACATGTAGGCCTTCTTGTATGTCGCTTTGTTTTTCTTTGGCTTAGATCTAAGTCCCCCCCTCAAAAAAAATTTTTTTTTAATAATAATAATTTTAAAAAGTAAATTTAAAAAAATAATAATAAATAAATAAATAAATAAATAAATAAATAAATAAATAATAAAATATTTTAAAATCAAGTTTTCTCACCTGGTATATTTCTGCCACTTGGTCTTGGGGGCTGACCTCGTTCTGCTGGTAGAGGTCATTGTGGCACATGAGGAACATAGCCCACATAGCCAGCTTTCTGTGGAGGTCTGGCACTACACCATCACTGGGTTGGAAGAAGAAGAGCAGGTTGACCGTAGCCAGGACCACGGACATCGCCGACATGAAGAGGATCACGCAAATGTACACCTCTGGGGAAAGCCAGGAGTAGAACTATCGTTTTCTTTTGGGTTTTTTTCTTCAATGTAGATTTTTTACACCCCCACCGATACAATTAAGATTATTTAGGAGGCTGGTTTCTAACCCTGCCTGTCACGACCAACGCGGACTGAAAGACTGAGACACTCAATAAAAATGTCCTCCCCACTCCGGAATCGAACTCGGTTTTCATGTGTGCGACTTCAAAGCGCCTAACCATTACCCCACAGGCGCCACGTAACTATAGTCGAGGATTCAGCGCTTACTGAGGCTGGAAGACTAAAGGAGCAGGGGGTAATGTCAGAAAAGAAAAGAACAGAATGGACGTCATAGCACTTCATCCGAGGTGACGACAATCCACTCAGTTACAGCATCTGTGGTTATCATATTTTCATTATCCTTCGTTTTAAGAAACTTTTAAAAAATCAACACTTTATTAATTATCCAGGGGAAATAAATTTGTATTTCATTGGCACGCAGATTGATGACTGCAAAATCTTTTGCAATTACAAGCACTATCTAGATTACACAAAAAGGAGAAATGCGATTTAAACTGTGTTTACAGGGGCGTGAAACGCTTACAAATAAGATAAGTATCCGTGCATCTGCTCAAATAGCCCCGTACAGGGGCGTAAAACTTAAACAACTGAAAGCACCGAATTACCAAGTAAGGAGGTGTATGTCGCAGCGGTGGACATCTCGCCGGTGATGAGAGTGAGGATGACCACGAATGCCAGCAGGCAGGTGAGAGAGAAGCCCATTTTCTCGCCGCTCTCGGAAGGCAGAACAAACACAAGAAGGATGAGATAAGCGTTGGCGATCACCGGGGCAATGATGCTCATCCAGTAGGTCTTGGAAAGGCGGGTCATTTTCATGTAGAAGATCACCTGAAGATGGATATAAACGAAGGGCATAGTGCAAAAAGAGCTTAAACCCAAGGTTTTCAGAAAGACAATAGCAAGGTTTTTAACGTCGGAGAAGCCGCACGGTGATTTCAGTGACTTTGTAGTATTTCCTTTCAAACAACAATGACGTATGAGATAGTTTAGGACTTCTGGATGAAAAGTAATGATTTTATTAACCATTATGTAATTGGCATTTAGGCATTTTTTGCCCTCAACCGATGTAATGTTCAGTGTTAATTCACTGAAGTCCCCCCAATTCGTCCCAAGATGATTGCTGACAGGGGTACCCTCGTTTGAAGTGACAGGCCACCTCAAACAAATTGAGGTTTTTTTTTACATTCTAAATATTGTTATCTTTCATATTTTCTGTTTCTTTTTTTTCAGCTCATCAATAACTATTAGATCTATATGATATTATAAAAATATGAATTTAGAAGATAATAGGAAGACAGTAAAGAGAAAAAGAAAACTTATCAGAAAATAGATGGAGGCCGAGTGTAAAAAGGGTGTGTGTGTGGGGGGGGGGGGGGGTAAATATGAATTAAAATTAAAATATTGATACTGAGACAATTAATTTGCATTTGGGTAAAAGCAGTTGATGTAGACTTTGGTGGGAAAAAACACAACAAACAAGAAAAAAAAAACAACAACATCAAACAAAACGCCGGAAAACCGAAGCGAAGCAAAAACAACAACAAAAACAACCAAAAAAATAAATAAATAGAATCTACCTCAGAGTAGGACAGCCCCTTGTCAGAAACAGTACCGACTGACGTGGAAGTGGACAGGACGTCCCATTTTCCACTGGCGGAGAAGAAGTCAAACAGAACTCCTTCTGTGGTATTGAGTCTGACCTCGGTCATAGCGTAGCCAAAACTGATGACCTGTGGGATACAGAATACGAAATGAGGTTTGTCACTGTCACGTCAAAAGTAAGATTAGTAAGAAGAATGATAGAGCAAAGACTGCCGAAATGATGAAGGGTTGTGAGTATGGAATGCTCTGGACTAGGAGTGGATATACCTGTCCCAGTCGTTTTATGCAAGAAAAATTATGAAATTATGCAATTCTGTTAATTTTAACAAAGAATGATAAAGGAAAATAATCAGAAATTACGCAAAAAATGATCAAATTTTGCTATAATATGCGGGGTGCATAAAACCACGGAGACAGGTATACTACGGCCCGGGGGCCAAGTATGGGCCTTTATAAGAGTTTAGTGCGGCTCGTGGAGATATTTGGTGAATTATTTTTTTAAAAAAGAAACCATAAGAAATGTATCTGAAGGGACCCCATTTGTGTAGCATCGTAGTGAAACAATGCGCTCGTCAAAACAATAAAATCAAATACGGTATATTTCCACCCGTCAAACAATTGCGATCGAATTTTCGGGGGGGGGGGGCTCAGCACCTATTTTCAACACGTATTTCTGTGTGGATTTACTGTAAAATGTTGATCAAACGCCAAAACATGCAAATTTCCAGTTTCTAAGGACACTAAAATTTTGTAAGTCACCAAACTTTGATGTCCATTTTCTCCCTTATTTTACCTCTGACAATTAGGCGACCCTGACCTCCTGCTAAATGTTTTATCTCATTTTTACTCAAGATAGATTTATAGATAGGTATTTTTTCATAAATAGCAAGACATATAAACAAGGTTTTAAGATTATACCAATAACTCCATAATAATATACCCAAATACCCAAAAAATTGACGAGTGTCAGATTTCACCGTGTCTTGACACATTTGTCTTTTCACTTGAGCAAAAAAAAAAAAAAGGCCGAACCTTTCTTTACAGATAATTATAGCGTCCATTTGTACGTGGTGAAGATTTTAAAATGCAATCTTTTTAATGCAAAATGAAGTTTACACTTTGGTGAGTTCAGCTCTACAAAGTGAGGCCCTTTGGTATTCGTGGCCTAGTTGAAATGGCCCCAGATCAGAAAAAAATGCCCATCCCTGCTTTAGACCCGGCACGCGCTATTCGAAATCAGAGCTCTTCGACAATGAGTATAAAAAATAACAAAAAGAAGACGAAAATAAGACAGACAAAATACACGAAAGTAATTATTTAATTTTAGAGTATACTTTTTACACCCTGTCCTTATTAACGTACCAGGTAATGCTTATTTGTTGGTAAAGATGATGGTAGTGAGTGTGAGTGTGTGTGTGTGTGTGTGTGTGTGTGTGTGTGTGTGTGTGTGTGTGTGAGAGTGTGTGTGTGTGTTTGTATTCGAGAGAAAATATGGAGTGGAGGAGAGGAAGAGTGAACACGATAATGATGGGGGAGAGAGAGAAAACGAGCAGGTGAGAGAAAAAGGAAGAAAGGAAAAGAAAAAAGGAGAGAGAGAGAGAGAGAGAGAGAGAC